GGGTCACCTGGGGAGAGAAGTAGAAAGAAGAAGAAGAGGGGGAGAAGAAGAGAGAGAAAATGGGAGAGAAGAAGAGAGAGGAAGTGGGAGAGAAGAAGAGAGAGGAAGTGGGAGAGAAGAAGAGAGAGGAAGTGGGAGAGAAGAAGAGAGAGGAAGTGGGAGAGAAGAAGAGAGAGGAAGTGGGAGAGAGAGGAAGTGGGAGAGAGAGGAAGTGGGAGAGAGAGGAAGTGGGAGAGAGGAAGTGGGAGAGAGGAAGTGGGAGAGAGAGGAAGTGGGAGAGATAGAAAAAAGGCCATGACTCCAGGTCATTGTCCCTCTATCACCGTCTTCCTCGCTCTCTCTCTCTCTTGGTAATAGAATTTTTTGCTGGATACTCACCTATGTTTGCAGTTGTAATAACGCACTAATAAAGTAAAGCATACAAAAATGTATTTAAATATTTTTTTTCTGTAATTTATTTCTTCTTACATAAATATTCGTTTTTTTAGTTTCATCCATCATTTTCATATTTATCTCTTTTCGTTAAATCTAAAGCAATAAGTATTTCAATAATAAAAAAGAAACGATTTCATTTAACTTTTATAATTAGTAATATTGTATTGGTTTATGCATAGATTTACTCTTTGATTAATTATTATTTTTGTTCATATTTGTTTTAATTTTTTATTTTAGCCTGCTGCATTGTCGTCATCTTAGGTGTTTTATTAAAAACTCTACAAATATTTGTATTTTGGTATACTTAATTGTTTTTCTTTTGCTTTACTGTATGTATAAAAATAATATATAAATAGTTAATGAGAAAGTCTTTTTTTTAAGTTAAATATTTTTAATTTTTTTATTATTATTATTATTTTGGGAGAGAGAGAAAGTATTTTTTTACGATCCAAGTTGAATCGAATAAGAAAGGCAGATCAGTGAAGAGATAGTCATTAAGTAATACTTGCTGCAACTTCGTAATGATATATCTTCATTGACCTTGCACATCCTTAGGAGAAGTACTCTTATTCGATTCAAAATTCGCAGTAGCTTCTGTGGATAATATTTCATAGGTCCCATAAATCACTTGTATAGTCTGCCACTGTCTATACAACCAATTTAAGGAAATGTAGGTAATTTGTTTTTTTTTTTTATTAGGTTGTGGATATTTTGATCAACGGTTTAGAATTCATTTAAAAAATGGAGTAACTTTTAATTAGTTTAGAATGTAAAGAAAAATCAATGAATATTTCCTGATTATATTTTATTTTTTAAACTAAACTATAATAAAAATTAACTTAAAATAGTATGTAGTTTATTTTTAATGTTGGTCAATTCACTCCTAAAAGTATGCAACATGTCGGTTGTTATATGGCCTAGGTTTTATACGGAAATTTTGTTCTTTGCTGTTGGACTTATTTTTTATATTTCTACAAGTCCAAATTTAGACAGAGGTGAAATTATTAGCATAGGCTGGCATTTCGTTAAATTTTTTGGAGTGTAAAGATGGCTGCAAAAGTCCAAGCGCGTACATTAAAGCAGGGAATTCCCTATATTTGTTTTCTCTACTTTCATGTTCTTCAGACGACATTGAGATATTTGCCCAGGTGGCTAATTCTACGGTCATGACGACGGATCTTATCATATATGTCATACAGGGTGAGATGAAAAAACTGCAATCAACTTCAGACTGTTTTCATTTCTAAGCCACTCGTCCGAGAGCTGTTAAAATTATTCCAGTGACAGCTCATTATATTGTTTACATGTGTACAAGCATTTTGGTGAGAATTTTCCGGTGTGATTTCTTTATATTTGGCTGGCAACCCAAAAGTGGCTATCGTTAGAGTACTCCAGCATTTAAATGTGGATATTTTTTTGTGTCTCATACCATCGCTCCTTACCGTGATACTGGTAGCGTAGCCCGACGTCAAGGTCGTGGACGGAAGGAAACAGCAACATCAGCAGAAATGGAAAGTAACATCAGCATAAATGGAAAGTAAAGAAGCGACTTGATCGAAACCCGCGTCGCAGTGCCCGAAAAATGGCTCGTGAGCTGAACATATCGCAATATTCCATTCGGCAAATACATATTGAAAAATGAGCTCGGGATAAAGCCATTGATATTTCAAAAAGTGCAAGAACTTACACCGCAACAAAAAGAAAATTGACTCCAAAGATCTAAAAAGTTGCTACGCTTGGCCGAAAGTGTTGAAATGCCGAGTTTGGTTTTCTCCGATGAGAAAACATTCGTTGGCCAGCAGTTTCTAAACAAACAAAATGATCGTGTTTACTTGCAAAAAAGGTCAGCTGAAAAAACCTTCGGTTGGCTACCAGAACTCAAGCGCCGGCCATGGTGATGGTGTGGGCCGCCATAAAAGCCGATGGTCGCCCTCCGCGCGTATTAATCGACCGTGACATCAGAATAAATGCCGAATATTATCGCGAAAATATTCTGGAAGGTGTATTAAAGCCTTGGGCACGCAAACATTTTCGACACAGACCTTGGACATTCCAACTGGACTCAGCACCATCGCACTCAGCACGCGCCACCCAAGAATGGTTTCAAAATGAGGTTCCTCGCTTAATTGCCAGCGCAAAATGGCCACCAAGATCTCCGGATACCAATCCGTTAGACTGTTGTGTCTGGAGTATTTTGGAAAGCAAGGTTGGCACTAAAAATACCAAAGTGTCGATCACCTCAAGCAAGCGCTTGGCCGGGAATGGGTCAAAATACCGCAGAGCAACATTCGGACAGCTTGTGACGTTTGAAGGTCATAGTTCGTGCCACAGGTGACTAATTCGAATAAATCTAAACTTGTTCTAAAATTTGATGCTATTTCGAAATTTTTTGATTTAATTCAATAAAATTTTAAAAAAATGTAAAAATTATGACGTTTGACTTTCTTAGAGTTTTTTTATCTCACCCTGTATGTGAAATATGTAGATGTGGAGCATGGCAGAAGAATACAGGTAGATGCATCAACGCTTGGGAGCATTGATATGTCAAAAAATTTTAAATGTTTTTTCAAATATAAGTAGATTTTTATATGTTTTCTTATACTACGTCCTTCGGAGGCTATTATAATTCGCGTTTTTTAACAATTTTTACAAATTTAAATAATTTTTCATTCAACATTTTCAATTCCAAAATTGGTTTGACAGTTCATTGTCCCAGCAGCTGTGTCGACGCGTCTACCTATATTCTTCTACCATGATGTGGAGCATGCATACGCATGACAACTAATTAGGAACCTCCATCTGAATTAGGCAACTAATATTATAAAAATAGCTTGCACATTGAACCGATAAAAATCAGCGAATTGAACCAATAAAAATCATAACATATAATTTCTACTACCAGCGCCATCTATTGAATCAAAACAACAATGGAATGTCCCATCTTAATATATTAAATGCCTCTGTTTGTACGCTCAACATATTTCACTAGCACTCATTGCATGTAATTCAATTCATGTGGTGGAAATCGCAACAACAAAAACAAGTAAGCAGAGGCTATAGCCGTGCGGGGCCGACCATGTGATACCCTACAACAACAACAATATGTTAGAAGCCAATAATTTCTAAATCCACTTGGGAATATTTTGCTTTTTAAATTATGTCATGGAGCCCAGATTTTACCCTTAGCATTTTGACCAGGGACGTTTACCCACTTTAATATTATAAGTCAAATTGAAAAAATCGCATGCGATAAAAAATGTCACAAAATACTACAAAATCTATATTAATATCATTATTGGCATCTTTTTATGCGAGTTTTTTTAGATTTTATACTTTTATGTCAAGAGAGTATTCTGAATTGACAAAATTTGTCAAAATCGGTCCAGCCATTCTTGAGATATAAGCATTCAAGCTAACATTCCCTTCTTCCTTTGTATACACACATTGTACATATTTCGCTATATATATCCGACATATTTAATATCGGCGTCAACGTAACGGTCAGAATTGACCTGTTCGTCTATTTGTGATTTTGCCGTGATTAAAAATATTCGCGGTTTAATAGAAAATTTGAAATTTTATTTTACACAAATGTTATGGTCTATTTCACCCACTAAATAGAAATCCATCAAAATAGGAAGACTTCTGCCCAGCCCTAAGCTCTAGCCACATGCTTACTTCCGCTTCGATTGGTCTATAGTTGCGACCTGTAGAGCAACTGCAAAATCAGGAAATTTTTCTTGGCCCAATCAAACTTTTAATTCCACCAACACATAGTGTTTTGGGGGTAAAAATATGTGTGAAGATATAAAGACAAATAAGGAAACTCAAAGTTCACTCAAAAAATAATATCGATAATAATGAAACAAATAATGTCAGGGAAACTTGTGTGGAGATTATGGTAGGGGTAAATAAAAAAATATTTTCGTAGGTAAAATAAAAAAATAACAAAAGCGATATTCAGAAAAAAATACTGGAGCAAATATAAACTAAAAATAAAAAATAGCGATGGTTTTGTTTGTTTTTTAAATCGGAATGAACATTGTTCCGATATATGATAGATTTTTTATTAATTTAAAGTTATAACCTTAATGCACTAATAACAAAAATTCAAAATAAATTTAAAGTTTTCATATATATGTTTCTCTTTTTTGTTTAAGCATATTTCATAATCATTAGATATAGTTGGGGTTATAGTTGATTTAGGTTAGTTTCAAAAAAATGTGTTTTTTGCTTTAACTAAAAACAAACAAAAAAAATTATTTTAAAAATAAAATATTTACAAGAAAAAAACAATTCAAATGATTTTTTCTTTACATTCGTGGTGTGGAAAAAATATTGTTATATATATATGTGTGTATGTTGTTTTACTGCTGTGTCACATTGTATTTTGTCAAGAATATTGTAACGAAGCTTTTTTGTTGATTGGCACTGGGGCTACAGTTTTTTGTTTTTTTTTTCTTTTGGTAATTTCTATGTCCATTATTTTCGTTTTTAATTTCAGAGTTCACATCATGGTTTCTTGTGTTTTACATATTTTATAGTGTGTGTGTGTTAGTGTAATATTTTTGTTTTTTTTTGCAATAATTTTTGTCATATTTCTTCTTGTTTCATTTAGGATATTTTTCTTTTTTTTATATCTGTAATTCAATGTTGATATTTGTTTTGCTAAAGCTAAATAAAAAAAAAAAACAAAAAATATATAAATTTATTTAATATATATATTTTTTTTAAATTAATTAAAATAATAGGAAAAATAAATGTTAATAAAAATAATGTAGCTAAACAAGAAATTAAAGCGGGAACCACCTAATAAAAATGATGCCATGTAAGCAAATATAAGGGCAAAGCAGTACATTAAAAACAAAAGAAAGGGAGAATGTTTACCATAACAAAATTAGAGTTTAAATTTGTTTCCCCTTTTTTTGAATTAAATTTTCTTTTCAGTGAGATCTTAAATTTTAACTATGGGTGTTAAATTTTTTATCATTTCGAGCAGTTTTAAATGTTTTAACAAAAAGTAATTAAAAATTGACAAAATTATTTGATAATTAATAGGATTTTCTAAGACTCTGTTTTGGTAGATTTCTTAAAATATTCAAGAAAGCAAAAAAAAAATTTTTTTTAATTTTTTAGAAATGTTCTAATTGGTAGGAATAATTAAAAATATGTATGCGTTCTTTAAAAAAAAATGGTATATATTTTGTTTTGATCCATCGAATTTTTGTATCTGACACTCTAAGAAAGCAAATAAATTTCTTATTCTTTTTTCATTTTTTGAAAAAATTTTTTAGAAATGTTCCAATTGGTAGGAAGAATTAAAAACACGTTATTTTGAAAAAATGCTATATATTCAAAATTTTTAAATTTTGAATAAACATTTTGTTTAAATTTTGTGAAAATGCTTTGTTTAAGTTTTAGAAAACTATAAATCCTTGATTTATAAAAGAAAACTTTATTGAAAAAAAAAAAAAAATAGATTTTAGGTTTATGTTTTTAGAATAAAACAAATCAATAAACATTTTTTAAATGGGTCACAAATGATTTCAATATTTAATTAAAATTTTAGTGGTTATTTAAAAATATTTTGGATTTTTTCTTTTATTAAATGTTTATTTAATAGTTAATATCCATTTAAAATTAAACGTATCTTTATAATTTTGTCGCAATGATTATTTCTTCGAAATGTTTAAAACACCTCCCCACTAGAAACATTATTAACTTTATTTCATTTCTTTAATTTCCCAATGAATTTGTTACAAATATTTTATTTAGTTTTTTTTTTCATTTGATTTTAATTTAAAAAATTGCTAATTTGGTATTTTTCTGTGGGTTTTAGACAATTTCTCCCCTTTATAAAGAATAAATATGCAATTGTAACTGCTTTTCTCCCTTTACGAGAACTTACAAAAATGGCCCATACGAGAATTATTTTGGAGGCCCATAATTTCTCGTACGAAAAAAACATATATTTCAAATCCAGTTTGTTTTTGTTTTTTTTTCTTCTCGGTCCCTGGTAGCTTTGCCATGGCTTTTATTAATATTTAATATATTTTAAATTTATACAAAAAAAGAAATTAAATATAAAGTCACTTTTAAGCAAATATAATTTTAAAAAATATAATATTTTTGGAGAGTTTTTGTTTTCAGGTTTGTGTGTGTGTTTTTTATAACATCAATAATGGTTCGAAAAAAAAATAATAGTTGTAATAAAAATATAAAGAAAAAAAAATCAACAAAGTTTTAGTTTTTAATGATCTGGGTTTTGAGCATTTTCAAATTTTGGGCTGAAAGGACAAGTAGGTTTTTTTTTTTGTTTCAAAAGAAAAGATATTAACAATAAATAATAATAGTTATAAACAGAAAGTAAGTAAGAAGAGAAGAGAAAAAATTACAAAAATTATTAGTACAAGAAGTTCTTTCAATTTTGGGTGTTGGGATTTTTGTTTAAGAAAAAATATCGTTTCTGCAAAAAATATTCTATTTTTTGTTTACTTCTTTTTCGTTTATCAAATGGACAAATGTAAGCCTACAATCTAATAAAGAAATTTATTCATTTATCATTATTTTTGTATTTTTTTTTTTGTGATTTTAAAATTTTATAAATTTTTTTGGTAGGATTTTTTTAATTTCTTCACATTTTTTTATTTGGTTTTTTTGTTTTGCTTTCTTGAAAATACCCAAAATAGAAATTATTTTTATTTGAAGAAAAAAAAATGTTTAAAAAATATTTTTTTTAGAATATAAACTAGTGTTGGTTTTTGCTTTATATAGAAAATAGCACTTAATATAGAATAAAGGAAAGAAATAAAATTATTGTTTAATAAAAATTAAAAATAATAATAAAAATAGCAGACGTAAAAACAAATGAATTTTATTTATCCGCCGCTACAGACGCTGTCGTTGATTTTTTATTGGCTGGTTGTTGTTGTTGTTGTTCCGAGGATGATGTTGATGGTGCTGCTGCTGCCGAAGCTTGTTGTTTATTGGTAGAAGCCGCAGCAGCTGCATCTTTTTGTTGTTGCTGTTGTTTCTGTTTTTGCTGTTGTTGCAATTGCTGTTGCTGTTGACGTTGGTTACGATTTAGACCGGAATTACTGCCACTGCCACCACCGCTGCGCCTTAGCTCATTGGGAGAGCCATAGTGATAATTGCGATTGGCAATTTGAGGTTTATTACCCAGTGAACCACTGCGTACACGTACAGTGGTACTGCCAAAGGAACCAGTGCGTCTACGATTATTACCGCCTTGGTTGTGTTGCTGTTGTTGATGCTGTTGTTGTTGTTGTTGCTGTTGTACTCTATTGCCCACATAATCGCTACGATTGGTAATTGTGGTATTGGGCCGACGATTATTACCACCGGCCACAATGACTTTGGTACCATCACTTTCCGATACACTACGATGTCTTTGGAAATTACGGCCACGATTCAAACTGCCCACACCCTGTAACATTTCATTAATTTCGGGTTCGACAACACGGAAATCTTCAATAGTTTTGAAACGTTTCAAATATTCCTTCAATGTGGGTTGTACTTCCAATTTATCGGCATTTTTATAGTATTTAAGGAAAGCCCAGAATTTCTCGAGACCATAGAGTTGTCCTGCAATGAAAGTTAAAAAAAAAAAGTACATCAAATATTATTGCCAATTCTATATCACTTTTTTTTCAATTTTCAAAATATTTTCTAAAAGACTTCTAATAACCAAAATAGCCAAGACATACATTTTTATAAAAATTGCCAAATAAAATGGAAAACTAACTGTCAATAGTTAAGATGTTATTTTAATTGTAATTTAAATTTAAACCTCTAAACCTTATAACTAATCTAACTAAACCCGCCCCCTTATCATTCAATATTTCATTTGTCAAATGCTTACCAATCTCATAATCGGCTATTGTTTCTTCCTGGAAGTCTTCATAGATATGAGGACGGAATTTCTTTTCCAAACCGTACGAATAGAAACGGAACAGACATTCCAAACCATAACGGAAACCGTTGCTAGCATCTTCCAAGGCCAAGGAGCGGAATTCATTGTACATGGTCTTATTGAAATTTTCACGCAAAAAGAATGACCAGAAACGATACAATGTGTTCATCTCTTGCGATTGGCCATAACCCAGACGACGTCTCTCTTTAAGGCAACGTGAATGATACTTATGATATGCTTGCTGCGTGAAATTGTTCTCCTTGAGTAGGGCATGTGATGGATGCTGGAAGACGGGCAACGATTGAGGTACTGATGAACCATACGACGATGTTGTGGGCGACGTACCCGCCGACGAACCCATCGATGTGGTACGTGGCCTGTGTTCAACGGTGTCGAGCAACCAACCAACGTGAGCCTCTACCGGTGGATTGGATGAATGGCGGGTCTTGCGTTTACGTGGTGTACGCAAGTCGAGCGAATGATTATTGGGCGCGGCATAGAAACGGGCTCTACGCGACTTAATTGTGGAATTCAGTGTGGAGTTCAGTGTGGTATTCAATGTCGAGTCTTCATCGTCATAGGCGGGTGGAGGTGGTGGCGGCGGTTGTTGGTTACGTTGTGATCTACCAGCATTGCCGGCCAATTTTTCAAAATCTTCTTGGGATATCAAATTTACAGTGCGATAATCCTTGGCCGTGTTTGAGGTAATCCACAAGTCTTCTTCGTAATTGACCAGACCATCGTTAATCACATTCTCCAAGTCCTGAGTAATTTTAGTTCTCGATGTGTAGTCGGCAGTGCGATCGTAACCCTCATGTTTGGGAGCCCTGTGTACTTGGGAGACAATCAGCAGTTTGTTAATATCACGGTCGGCAAATTCGTAATCGGATTCATCATCGTCGGAATAGTGGTCGGTGAAGTTGTTGACGCGTCCAGAGGCAGGTATAGGATCCATAAGCTCTTCATCAAACTGGAAGTCTAATTCTTCCTTCTCGACAGGCTGGTGGCCACCGCTGGTGGTTGTGGTGATTGCAGAGAATGCAGCTGTTTTGGAGGAGGTAGAGGAGGATTTGATGGTAGTGGCGGTGGAATTGGTGGTGGAGGAAGTGGAGTTGTTGTTGTTGACAGAGGAAGCATTTGATGTAGTGACATTGGAGGATGTTTTGTTTGTGGAAATCAGGGAGTTGGTAGGAGTGGTTTTTGTATTGGTGGTCATGGTGGCGGATTGGTTTGATGTGGATGCGGAAGAGGTGTTGGCGAGTGGCAATTGTGATGATGACGATTGTGTCGAGTTGGTGGTAGCTGATTTAGTATCTTTATAAGCATTTGATTTTGAGCGTCTCTTTACCTCTTTCCACATGCCATCGGCAGCTTCGCCAGCACTCGCGGTTGAATCAGCACTCTCAGAGGTAGCAGCTGGTGCTTTGCCTTCAGTCGTTGCTGGGGTCGCTGTCTTCTTCTTTTCCGGAGTCGATGTGGAGTTTGGAGCTTTCACAGCCGTTGTCACACTCTCAGCCAAACCACTCAAATGATCCGCCAACTGAGCCACAGCTCCACCCGTTGCCGTTTGCTGTTCAGCTGCCGCGGCAGCTTCCACCTTTTTGGTGAGAGCACTGATGGCATTCAATGCAGGGGTGGCAGGTGTTTGTCTCTCTTGTTGCATCAAAATGGTGGGTAGCAGATTTTGCGAATTACGTGGCACCGGTGGTGGTGGTATACAACTCAAAGGCTTTGTAGCCATGGGTGAGGTTAAAATCGGTGGCAGAGGCACTTCGGGAACATAGATAATATTTGGTGAGGTATTGTTATTTGCAGGAGTAGCAGTAGTATCAGTGCTTGTAGCTTCTTGAGCAGCAGGTTTAGCATTAGCTTGACTCGTTACATTATCTTGAGTTTGGGAAGTGGTGGTAGCAGCAGCAGTAGTAGTGGAGGTGGTGGTGGACGCTTCGGGCGTACTTCCAGCAGCAGCACCACTTGCAGCTGCAGTTGCCGCCAATTTAAGTGGGTTACTAACTGTATCCACAGCTTCCTTAATGGGCCATATGGTGGGATTTGTCTTTGTGCGCACCTTATAGCCCTCCAAAAGTTCAATTTTATCGGATTCCTTAATGGCTGTAATGATTAGAGCCACATCTGTGGTTAGAGCTAGAACCCGATGGAACGAAGCGATTAAGGTGACAGGGATGCAGCCTTCGTCATCCATTTTGCGGCGCAAATAGAAATCGCCGGTAAGGTTTTCTTCGCTAAAATAATATTCACTGTAAACAGGATAGAAGAGGGGAGAAAGAGAGAAATTAATTATAATGAAGCAATTTTAATGGCTACACACAAAACCACAGGGTAAACAGAGAACACACATTTTATAGACGCATTACAGGCATGGATACTTACACTTGTTTTTTAATAGCTTCTTTGACGCTTTGTGCATCCATTTCAATATATGCAGCAGGCATGGGACCATAATAATGGGTACCCATAAGAACAAATGAGGGATCTGCACCGGCGGCATCCGCCGGTAGGTAACTTGCGTACTCGCCATTGGCTAACAGATGGCGTGGTATGCGATTTGCCGTACGACCTGGTCCCGATCTTGAGAATCCGCCACCACCCCGGCCTTGGCGCCCGCCCCTGTAGGCCGTGCGGTACCGCCGTTGGCTGCGGGCTGGTCGTTGTTCGTATTCACCGTCACGTTCATGCCGATTGGTGCCGCTGCCGCTACGCCAGGAATCAATGCGTTCACCCACATTGCCAGATTTTGTTTTGTTGTTGACAGCATTGTTGTGGCGTTCACCGCCACGTTGAGACTCTGCATTGTTGGCAGAGCTGCTGCTGTTGTTGTTGGCTGAGCGTCTTTCAGCGTTAGCTTCGTGGCCGCCGACAGTAGTTTGGGCTGAGCGATTGTTGCCACCGCTGCGATCTTGGTAGCGTGATTGGGAATTGATACCTCTTCTGGTGGGACGACCAATTGATTTGGAACGACTAGATTTTGCCAAATCGATTTGTAGAGGTCTCCATTTTTGCTTGGGTATCTTCTTGTTGATGCCATTTGCTGTGTTTGTGGTGGCATTATTTCCATTTCCGGCATTACTGGAAGATGCTTCATTGTTGTTTGCTGTTCCGCTAGTTGTTGCTTTGGGATCTTGGTTTTCTTTGGCAGCACTTGAACTAGTGCTGGATGCTGATGACGATGTGGTTGCAGCTACCTTATCGTTAGTGTTGCTGCTACTGTTAGCAGTTGTCGATGACGATTGTTGCTGTTGTTGACTATCAACTAAGTTTTGGCCTTCGGTAGTTTTTACCGTGGCAGCGTTTTCTTCTTTGTGAGCGTTGGAACGTTGTTTTCTGTTTGAACGTTTTGTTTCGGTACCGGCTGGTTTACCACCAATTAACATTGGCCAATCACCAACGTTACTAAAATCACTAGCCTGCAAGAGGAGGAATAGAATGTTTAGAAATTATGGAAAAAAGGGTATTTTTATGATATGATCTTCTTACTTTTTGGTTAACCTTCTTTTTGTCCTTTACCACGGCAGCATTCGCATCACTTTTCGAGACGACTGTAAAGAAGAAAGACAACGTTTAAGATAATTTTGTTAAATTAAAAAAATAACAGTATTTATGTATAGAAGTTTTTGGAGCTGTTCCTGGCCCTATGGGCTAGGATACTGCACAAATTGAAATAAAAAATAAGAGAAACGGAAAAAAGTGCATATAATAGGTTTTTGAATTTACATTAAATCTATCAGGTATGTTAAAGTTCTTTTTAGTTGTATGTAATATATATATGCTTTGGTATCTGGAATGAAATATTTTTTGCTTTTTTTACTATCCTTACACCAAATGGTACCAATTTTTGAAAATTGTGGAGAAACCAATATTCATTTTAAAAGAACAAGATATTTACATGAAAAATATGAACAACCTTCTCTGGCTGCAGTGGAATTGCTATTAATCGAATTTTAAATTATATTTCATATTTTATGTTTCTTCTTTTTCTTTGGAATACAATTTTTACAAAAATCTAGATTACAAACATGAGGTTATCTAGGTGTCAAACTATTTATAAAAGGCAGGCATTCTGGATTACAATTTAATTTCCAGTCATAACTGGACATCTCTTTGTGTTCGAAAAAAAGTCCATTCCGATGCAAAATAAGTTCATTTTTTGTAATCTTCTAAGCTAATCATCACATGTGTCTAGAGGAAAAGATTACAATTTTATTTTCATTTCTTACATGAGCTACCTCGCCACCCCCAACCCCTTCAAATTGTCATACCCCCTCACAAATGATTGTGACTCTGGCTACATAACAACAAAGATGTGGGGTTTAAAAGCTTATCATTTTTAAAAGCTTATAGTTTTATTTTGTTCAAGTATTGGTAGAAGCACAAAACTATGTGTGTGTGTGTGCTTTTCGAAAACCCCAAAGCAGAAAGAAGAAGGAGAAGAAGAAGAAAAGATCATGCCATTTTTATTTTAATTATCGAAGAATAAACATAAACTGTTTCGTTTATTTATAGAAGAGAATACACCATAACACACTTCAACTGCCAACCAGATACATATAGGATGACGACGATACAGGCATGTTTTCATGACACGCGTCATTTGTTTTTTCAAAATAACACAAAATTTGAGTTACACAAATGTACAGTGGGGGGATACCCAATAGGAAGGTGACTTATAATTTGGGAGCTTTTTCCCAAGGTGTATGGGAAACTCAGGTCCGCAAAGTCAGAAAATCAAACTATTATTGTGAAACGTTTAAAAAGTTTTCAAATTCAATCCCTCCCTCTACCCTTTGAACATTTTATACCCACGTCACCCCAAATTTAATTAAATCTTGTTATGATCTTGAAAATACGAAACCATTTGAAGAATGGGGAGATTTAAATCCCACTGTTAGAAATATTTTAATTTGTTTGCCTTCATCATCATTGGTGGGGAAAGTCGATCTACATATATTTTTATTTGTTTGCATAAAACAAATTTTGGAATTTCACAAATTATTGGTCATGTTTATAATTCAATAATTAATATGGCAAAAGTCAATTCTATACCTCAAAACAAAAAAAAAAAAAAACACCTTGCTCTATAATATTTAAACAACGCAGTTTAAAATTCCACACATAATGGCTGGATATCAGCACAAAATGCCGGAGCAATAAACAAAACAGAACAACAAAAAAAAAACAAAGTTCTTTTATGATGGGAATTTAAAAATAAAATACAACTTGAAGAAGAAAAAAGAAACAAAAAACAAATAATAATGGCTAAGCACGAACAAAGCTAAATCAGTTTCTATACTAAAAGGCCAACTCCCCCCTTAGCTCCTTATAAGCAATTTGCCAAAATGTTTATGGCACTCATAAAGAACTCGTAGATATTGAGTTGAATATGTGAGTTTAAGAAACTCCCTACTTGGAATTGTCGCTGGAGTATTTTGGAAAGCAAGGTTGGCACTAAAAAATACCAAAGTGTCCAGATACCAATCTGTTGGATTATTGTGTCTGTAGTATTTGGGAAAGCAGGATGGCACTAAAAAAATACCAAAGTGTCGATCACTTCAAGCAAGCGCTTTGCCGCGATTGGGCCAAAATGTAGCAGAGCAACATTCGGGCAGCGTGTGAAGGTTTCATTGGCCGTCTGAAGGCCTCAGTTCCTGCCAAAGGATGTAAATCCTCCGAAGTGAAAGAAGGAATTTTTCTATAGGAAAAAATCGCCAGTAATCAAAGTTGGGATCGTTTTTTATATCCCCGCCACATGCCACTCCTTATGGTACCTCACCCAGGAGATGGGCAACATCGGCCCACTCCTTCTAGTAGCTTCCCACAAAAGGTCCAAATTTGAACATATCTAAAGTTATTCTAAAATTTGATGCTATTTCCGACATTTTTACATTCAAGCAATAAAATTTAACAAGAAATGTAAAAATGATGGTGTTTGACTTCGATGCAGTTTTTTTAGCTCACCCTGTATATTTATTGTTTTTCATTTATTTGGTTGCCACACTTACCTATGGTTGTAGACTCAACTTTATTGGCCTGTGTCTTATTTGGATTCTCTGCGTTTGTGTTCGCTGTAGTATTGGAACTGCTGGTATTGTTTTGGTTGGTAGTATCGCTAGTTGCCGGTTGTTGTTTTTCGTTTTGATTCTGTGCTTGCTGTTGTTGTTGTTGCGGTTGTTTCTGCTGTTTAGGCTGTTTGGGTTGCAAGACACGTTTGTCCAATGGCGAAGAACTTGTTTTGGGACTTGAAGCTTGTTGTTTTGATATCTGAAAAAGTAAAGAAAGAGCAAAACATTAGTATTTTTGTTTTTCAATTATTATGGACATATATAAAAACTAATACATATACAAATATATATGTAAAAATTAATGACTAAAATGCTTAGAACCCTTATAGGGGATATTTTATGGGTGTCAACAACACCAGAAGTTGGAATTTTAATCAACCACTAGGGAAGAGAAAAATTATTAAAAAGCATAGCGTATTTCAAGTACAAGTCCTAAAAATTAAATCTGACTTCGATTAGCGAGTATTGCAACATGGAAGAAAATGAGAGAATCTAGAAACAGCACACTGTTCCAGAGCTATGGGTTTGTTTCTACATTTCCCTTTCGGGTCGGGTTTAAGATTAGAAATTAACCAATTATATTGTGTTAAAATTGGATATTTCTGTCCATTCCATCATGATATTGACGATTTGAGTATCGAACCCATAATTTCCATTTACAACATTTTCACTTAAATATGAAAAAACAGACATATCATCCCTTGCACGAAATAATAAAAGTTTCATCAGATGTTTCATCAGAATTTTCTGTATTAGGAACAGGTTTGCCGACCCACACCAAGAGCTGCGCCCTCCTGGGCGCCGTGTTGAATGTATACGATGTTAGTTGCAAATACTTTGCGTGTGATGAAATTTTCTTTTAGAGAATATATCATAGAATGCGTCATGGTTACAATTTTGCATGGTATACTCAAAATGCTATGGCGAGGGTGAGTATAGTATGGCGTGCTTTTTTTTGGTGACTAAGTCGTTTTATCCTTTCTTTTTGGTATATTTTTCATAACAATGCACCAGTGATTTCATTGGTCAATAAAAGCATGGGAATATGACCTTCAGGGAGAAAGAGAGGAGCTCAACAAGAGAGAGAACTAAAGGAACTGTTGTGACATGTTTTGCCATAACTCTCTTTATGGCTATTTTGCGAGAGTTGTGTTATGTTGTTGAAAAGAGAGATGGCCTGGGAAACATATGTACCTATGACAGTGTATTTTCATATTTTGTTTTGAAGAAAATTTAGGACAAAGACATGGAGAGGTATTGAAAGTATTTTTAACATTTTTGCTCGTCTGATTTTTCAATAAAAAAAACAAATCTAAATTAATATTTTCCGGTTTACAGTATTTGTTGAAAACATTTTGTTTTCAAGGATAACTAAAAATTTGATAGCAGATTTACGATATGTGTAATATAGAATAGCAATTTTTAATATAACTTCTCAATCATAAAATTTGTGGTAATGAAAAATTAAAAATTTTTGAATCTTGGATCCAAAAAAAAAATCATTGAATGTTAGAATATGGGAATTATATTTGAGATTTTTGTGACTGTTTTCAACCCTAATGAGAATATGAAACTTGAATTTGTTAATATTTAAATTTCTATTAATTGTTTCCATTTTCTGGAACCTAAAACCGACACCTTCCTAAGAAAATGTGTTTTTTTTTTTTTTTTTTCTAAAAACGTATAACGAAATTTCCTCATGAGATATTTTAAATGTGTCTCGTGAGGACTAACGAAAAGAAAACGGTTGTCAAAAAAACTAAACATAATATTAAATGATGTCAAAAGAAACCCTAAAAGTAACCTCACCCACACCCACCCAGATGTGGCGTCGTACTTGGGAGTGTGTGTGTGGTTATGACTGACATTTTTTTTCTTTTTTTCTGTGACACACTACCAATTAGAGATAATTTGTGAAAAAAATTGAATTTTCTAAAATTTAAAAAAATTAATTTTCTAACATTTGTGTCAAGAAAATTTGGATTTCCGATTCACACCAAGTCATCATCGATCATATTAAATGCACAAAATAAAAAAAAAACCAAAACACATGTGGGGGGTCGGTCATCTGTTAGGTTTCATTCAAAAGACCTCTAAACTTATGTTGCTTGGGAGATTAGTTCTTCCTATAGTTGATTAGTTGTTGTATTTTGTCAGATCGATAATTTGAGTATTCTTTTGTGGACTTTCAGTATATCTTTTGGTTTATTGGTCAATTAGTTTTATGTGTTCATAGAACATGTTTTTTAAATGCCGGGGAAAAGTAAAAAAAATACCCTCCACCATTTGGAACGAATTTCACAATTTTTCAAAAAACAAAAAATAAATAAATAAAATCCGTTAAAAATTCTGTTAACATCTTAAAAATACCGAATGTAGCCAGGACCTGCATAAACCATTACAATGTCATAAACCATTACAATATTCAAATGCAAAACTTGAATAAAAAAATTCTGTGAATAATGTAGCTAAAATAATAATATTACGGGTTTTCGAAGACGTGGACCAGAACAGACATAATTCTCTCATAGGCTGTAGTATCGATTACGAACTTCAAACACCAAATTTGATAAAATTCCGGTGAATAATGTCGCTAAAACCAACAAAATACCGAATATCGGTAGGTACCGTTATATGGGGAATATACGAAGACGTGGAACTGCACAGACAATTTTCTGTCATAGGGCTGTAGCATCCGTTAAGAACTTCAAATACCAAACTTGAAACAATTTCGGTGAATAATGTCGCTAAAATCATGAAAATACCGAATATGGGGGGCTATACGAACAAATTTTCAATTTTTGAAATATATTATATAAAATGGAGATTGGTCATACCTCTTTGTGATGAAGCTAATAGTTCGTCGTTCATATACTCTATGGGGCTCGGATGGCTGGATGGATGGCTCTTTTCATTTAACGACAACAGAGTCCAACAATTGGCGTTTATTTCACACACACGTAAAATAAATTAACGAAAAATGTTCAATCAAAATTGATAATAAAATAATTGAAAATCAACACAAAATGTAAACCCAAAAAAAAGTTTTTATGTTGAATATTTTTTCCATAGGATGGGTTGTTGGTTGGTGATGGTTTGCTTGTAGCTGATTTTTCTTATAGAACAATACCACATTGATGTTGTTGTTGTTGGGTGTGTGATGATTTCACTTCACTCTCGACTTGTTTTATTTTCTTTTCTATTTTCATTCAATTCTTCAGACTAAATTGTGTCCAAAAAACATTGTCTTATCTTCACTTTATGAAATTTTCGAGTGTTATTGATATTTGTTTTATTAATCTTATCATTTATTGAAATGATAATAATGTTTTTATTTTTCATTTAAACACAATGTTCTGGGATTTGAATTCAAGAAGAAAATACTCCTCCTCTTCTTCGTTGACAGTAAATTATAAATAAAAACGACCCCAAGTCGTTTTTTTACGAAAAAAGAAAAGATCACTCAATGCCGTTTTTTATTTGTTTAAAAAAAACGACCTATTTTTCTTTCTTTAGAATTTTATCTGAGGTTAGATATTTGTTTTATGCTTCTTCACTTGTTTTATATTTTTTTTTCTTCTCTATTAAGAATAGAATACAGAATTTTTGGTTTTCTGTGATATTCCGCGTTTGAAATTTTTAAGCGAGCGTCTTGTACGACCGTTCAAGATGTTCTGATTTCATTTGGTTTGGCGCAGTGTCTGATTATGAATTTTTACATTGCCGGTTGGGTGGGAAGGTTCATTTAAATTGAGAGATGTATTTATCTCATTACTAATGTAGAGAAAGAGAGAGCCCGAGAGAGCGTCGCAAAACCAAAACAAAAACCATGTATACGTGACATGGCCGCAATACACTATGGAAACCTGTATTGTGTGACAATCCAATAATAATATCAAGGAGAGAGAGCAGAGCACGAGAGAGTACGCATCACACAACAGTGACATGGTAGCCATACTATGTACAGAGGTTTGTTGTTTGGTTATTGACTGGCAATAAACAGTGATAAAAACAACAACGACATCCATCCGCGTCCACCACACCACATGCAAGATTATTGGCCCCAAGGTAAAAAACAATGTCGAAATTTATCTGTTTTTAAAAACGTTAACATAGCAATGAATTAAGGAACGATAGATTATCAAGCATTTGTATGCAATGTGTTTTTATATTTGCCGCGATTGAAATGTTGACCTGCTTTTGTTGTTGATGTTTTGTTTACCCGCACATCATTTGGGAATGATGATGCATCACTCGAAAAAGAATGAATGAATCCTTATTGTTGTCACCACATGTGTTAAATGTAAAATGCATTTTAATCACTGCGCACTTGTCGATTTCTACAAAATCAATTACGCTTGAAGTGGATGCGGGAGGATGTCCCATATCATATTTCATTGGTGTCCTTTATGTTACACTGTGGTTTATCAAGGGAAAATATGAAGAAAAGCCATTTGCTATTTTATTTTTAAATGGTTTAAAGAATATTCCAATATTCGATCTTAGACCTTAAAATACAATTTAAATTTGAATGGAAATTGTCCTGATTTTCGGTATTTTGTTGTAACATCCTGATTTTCGGTATATTGTTGTAAATTGATATTTCGATTTTTTTTGTTGCTAATTGAAATCTTCTCACAAAATATTCAATAAAAACTCCATATTTTTGGAATTTTGACGTCATTTTTACTTGTTCAAAATTGAAAGATCAAAATATCCAAATTAGTTTTGGCTTCATTTAAAAGTAGTGATTTTGGGATTATTTGCAGGTATTGTGAGTGGCCCGGACTATACAAAAAAGTGGATTTCGGACTGTTGTATGTTCTGGTCATTTCTCGGGAACTAAACTTAAAAGAGAGGTTATTTTGACACAAGAGCTAAAAATGCTCAATAACGTCTGTTAAATAACATGCTATGTTCAATTACAGAATAGGAAGTAGAAATATAACTCGATAACATCCTTCAGTCCTTGCGATTTGTTTACTTATAAGGGTTAACTCTCCGATTTTTGTGCCAACGATCCTCTTACACTACTTAGTTTGCAATATATCAAGTTTCCCATCTCGCCGAGTTGAGTTGGTCCAGTTATGTGTCCGTACGTCTGTCTTTCCACGTTAATTTTCACTCTATATATAAGTCGTAATTATGGCCCTCACAATTTTTTTTGGCAATTGTAGCAAAAACCATTATTTTTAGAAG